GTCCCATGTTTTCACCTCAAGGTTGTCTGACCCCAGTTTGAAGCTCCACTGTACTGGTTCTGTTAGTTGAAGTTCACTTCTTTCTGCTCCAAATTCCCAACATGTTTACTTTTTATCTTTTTTTTTTTTTTATGGCACATACTGAATTCTTATTTTGTTACTTGGCCCTTTATGGACATTTATTTCTATGGCCTCATTTTAGGAAAAATCTGTTATTCAACTTTGTATCCATGGGATTGCCTAACTGCTACGAGAAATGAAAGAGCTGGTGACATTTTTTTGAGTAGGAGCTGTGGGAAAAAAAAAAATCTCAAGTAGAAAAGTAATACCAAATTAGTTTTTGAGTGTCTAGCATTCCTTCAAATCATGTTTCCTCAATCTATCTCTTCTTGTGAATGGTTTCCTTTCATTAAAAAAAAAAAAATACTGAAACTGGGTGTGGTGGCTCACGTCTATAGTCCTGGCTCCTTGAGAGGCTGAGGCAGATCACTGGAGACGAGCCTGGGAGACAGAGAAAGACATCATTTCCTTCCTCTTCAAAAAAAATCTGCCAAAAATTTTTAGTAAATATTTAATATTAAATTAAAGAGAAAATTGAATATTCTTCAGCACTTAAATGATTCTTCAGTTCTTTTTTTTTTTTTTTGGTACCAGGGATTGAACTCAGGGGCACTGAGCCACATCCCCAGCCTTATTTTGTATTTTATTTAGAGACAGGGTCTCACTGAGTTGCTTTTGCTGAGGCTGGCTTTGAACTTGTGATCCTCCTGCTTCAGCCTCCCAGGCTGCTGGGATTATAGGCATGGGCTGCTGCAACCAGTCTTCTTCTTCTTTTTTTTTTTTAAAGAGAGAGTGAAAGAGAGAGAGGGGGAAAGATAGAGAGAGAGAGAATTTTTTTTAAATATTTATTTCTTTTTTTTTTTTTTAGTTTTCAGCGGACACAACATCTTTGTTGGTATGTGGTGCTGAGGATCGAACCCGGGCCACACGCATGCCAGGCGAGCGCGCTACCGCTTGAGCCACATCCCCAGCCCAACCAGTCTTCTTTTTCTATTTTTTTTATGGTGTATTGTTTCATCATGAATAATTTTTTCTCACTTTAGTTGTGGTGAGTCCTATCATTTGACTGTTCAGTGTTTATTTATTAATTAATGACGGAGTTTTTTTGTGTGGATGCACCCATCAAAAAAGTATGACCCCAAATAGAATTTGCTCATGAAACTCTAAAATGTTCATTGGTCTCTAATTCATTAAGAAAACAAAGGATCAGGCATAGTGGTATGTGCCTTTAATCCTAGCTACTTCAGAGGCTGAGGCAGGAAGATTACAAATTTGAGGTCAGCCTCAGCAACTTAGGGAGAATATGTCTCAAAATAAAAAAATAAAAATAAAAATAAAAAGACCAGAGAGGTAGCTCAGTGGTAGAGCACCCATGGGTTTTTTTAGGGAAAAAAAAAAAAAAAGACACACACCTCTAACTGGGAGGGATATTAGTCTCTAAACCATGGGAATCTCCCCAAATCAGGGCAAAGTTACCTACTGTAGTACATAATGGCTTTCACTCTTTCATACAGAAGAGTGTTCCTCCACGTGGGCAGATTTCCTCCCAGATTTGCATGAAGAGCTTGTTACAAACGTATACTTCCAAGTTCCACTCAAACTCAGAATCTTTGGTTCCGGATCTCCAATATTATTATTTTAGATTAACTTTATAGATGTTTCTTATGCACCCTGAAATTTACTAATCACAGGCTAAATTCTTATTTTCTAAATGCAAAGAGATCCCTAGAGAACTGCCCAAGTACATTCTAACCAATCCAATAGAATAAAAGACAGTCTGTCCTTGTTTCTTTGTAACTCCCCCACCACCAGTATTTTATTTAGAAAATGTTCATATGTACAAAAAAGTTGAAATCACTGGAGGGTGGATACCAGAACACTTTACTTAGATTCTACCATTAACATGTTACAGCAATTGCTTTAAGACAAGTCTGTCCTTTTGCATCTCTCTTGAGTCATCAACCCATATCATTTATTGGATGAATTTCAAAGGAAATTTCAGATATCAATAGGGTACAATTTGGGATAATTGAGACTTAAGACTAACAGGGCTATGAATCCTTTTAGCACTGGTGAGAATACAGTGGCCTACTTTTATTGGATAGAATTAGCGGCTATGGGCTGGTGGCGCAATTCAGGGGTACAGCACATACTTAGTAGCATCCCTGAAGCTCTGTATTCAATACCAGCACCAAAGGGGGAAAAAATAACTGGTGATTGGTTGGGAGAATAGATTTAATCAAAGACGTTAAGAATAGTTTTTTTTGCTGGCTAGACAAGGCCTTGGGAGAATACATTTAATCAAAGACGGAAGAATAGCTTTTTGCTGACAATCCCCGCACAGTCCTATCTACGTGTCTCTATTCATCTGAATGAGAGCTTTTGTTTTATTACTGTAAGGAGAAAGGAGGTTTGGGTCATGGATAAGAGATAAGTGTGGAAGCTGATGGCAGCAGAACCCTCCTCTCATCTGTGGGCTTTGAGACTTTAATGGGGAGATGAAGTAGAGGCTGTGGTTTGCTGGATTAGTGATGAGCAGCTAGGTTTTAAGTCAGAATGGTCAGAACTGCATTTCAGCTGCTCCTGGCTACTTAGCCTTGGATTTGATACACAGCCTCTTGACCTCAGCTTTTTTGTTTGTAAAATGAAGGTAATCGTAATAACTACTTTATATTGTTGTGGAGAAAGTATGTGAGCTTGACATGTAACAATCAACTTTCGTTGCTAAAATATAATTATGTTTCTTGGTATTTTACACAAAACTGAACTAAACTAAACTACAGCAGTTGGTGCATAAGAAAGACACAAAATGTTTCTGTTGAAATTTTGAATTCTGAAGTGGGAATTCAGAGAAAAGTAAGAAGGGAAAATCCTGAAAGTCTTTCCAGGGAACCCATTCTATTTAAATAGAAATCCAAAACTTTGCCAGGTACAGTGGCACATGACTATTTTTGTTGTCATTGTTGTTGTTTGTTTGGTCACGATTGAACCCAGGGGCACTTAAACACTGAACTACATCCCCAGCCCTTTTTTGCATTTTATTTTGATATAGGGTCTGGCTAAGTTGTCAGAGGCTGGCTTTGAACTCATGATCCTCCTGCCTCAGTGTCCCCAGCCACTGGGATTACAGACATGTGCCACCACACCTGACTAATACTATTACTTTTTTTTTTTGTTTTTTGCAGTTGGTGATTGAACCCAGGGCCACATGCATGCTAGGCAAGTACTCTCTTACTGAGCTACATCCCTAGCCCCATGGCACATACCTGTAATCTCAGCTACTCGGGAGGTTGAGGCAGGAGCATCATAAGTTCCAGGTTAGCCTCAGCAATTTATTCACACCCTGTCTCAAAAGATACACAGATAGATAGACAGATAAATAGGGTTGGGGATGCAGTTCAGTGGTAAAGCTCTAATCCCTGAAAGAAAGAAAAAAGGAAGGAAGGAAGGAAGGGAGGGAAATCCAAATTCTTCTAAGATCTACAAGGTCCCTAAATTATCTAGTCTCTGTCTCCATCTCTTCTCCTATTCCCTTACTTGCTTCTAGTCACACCAACTACAAATCTAGCCAAGCTCATTTGATCCTCAGGACACTTGTATTTGCTGTTCCCTCTGCATGAAAGTCTCGCCCCAGATCTTGACCTGGCTCCTTCTCAACCATTGGGTCTCATTCAGCACAAACATTAAGGTTCTCAGAAATGCCTTCCCTGACCACTTATTTAAGTTCTGGACTGGTTAGTACCCAAACCTCACACGACAGTTTCTCCTCAATTTACAATGGGGTTATGTTCCAATGAACCCATTTTAGGCTGAAGATATCACAAGTTGCAATTTAGTACAGTACACCTAACCCACCAGACATCATACCTTAGCCTAGCTTAGCTTAAACGTGCTTAGAACACTTCCATTAGTTCACATTCAGGCAATATCATTTAACACAAAGCCTATTTTACAATAAAGTGTCGAATATCTCATATAATTTATTGAAAAGATCAAAACTCAAAATAAAAGTATGGTTTCTACTGAGAGCTATCCATTTTGCACCACTGTAAATATCCTAAATTGAACTTTCATATTAAGTTAGGATTATCAGTATTTTCACATCATTTATCACTATCTGAAATTCGTATTGTTTACTTGTTTACTGGCTTTTGTACTAGAACAGGGCAGGGATCTTGCATCTTCCGTTGATACATGGCTGTAATCCCAACACCTAAAACCAAGTTCGTTGCACACTCAAAACGTATTGATGGAAGGAACAAATGAACGAGTGTCTGGAAGATAGAGGGAAATGAAAAATGTATTAAAATCTACGGTAGGTACATGTGACACATGCCTGTAATCGCAACTACTCCAAGTTTGAGGTCAGCCTCGTCAATTTAGCCAGACCATGTCTCAAACAATCAAAAGGGCTGGGGATGTAGCTTAGTGGTAAGGCACTAGTCTAGTACCTGCGAGGTCCCCTTCAGTTCCTCCCCAACACCTAAAAAAAAAAAGTTCATTGAAAGTAACCAGTTCCAGCCCGCGCGGTGGCGCAGGCCTGTCATCCCAGAGGCTGGGGAGACTGAGGCAGGAGGATCAGGAGTTCAAAGCCACCCTCAGCAAAAGTGAGGTGCTAAGCAACTCAGTGAGACCCTGTCTCTAAATAAAATACAAAATAGGGCTGGGGATGTGGCTCAGTGGTTGAGTGCCCCTGAGTGCAAAAAAAGAAAGAAAGAAAGGAAGAAGGAAGGAAGGAAGAAAAAGAAAGTAACCAAATTCTTGGTCAAAAGCCAGAATCACAAACAATAACCAAGTTTGCGAAAGGTTAGGCCTGGGGCGGGAGGGGGCGTGGAGGGAAGGGGGCGTGACGAGGGCTGAGTCGCGGCGGGGCGGAGTCGGCCCGGAAGCGGGGGTGGAGGTCCAGGAAGTGACGCCCCTTGCTGCTCGGGGACTTTTACTGGACCCGGCCGAGTCAGACGCAACTCCCCCGGCTCCCGCGATCTTGACTCTGGGCGATGGAGAACGGAGCAGTGTACAGCCCCACCACTGAGGAGGATCCGGGTCCCGCCAGGGGCGCCCGGAGCGGCCTCGCTGCCTACTTCTCCCTGGCCCGGCTCCCTTGGTATCGGCGGGTTCTCAAAGGCTTGCAGCTGGTGAGTGCGCTGCCGGCGGAGGGCGAGCCGGGGCTGGGGGCTGGGGACTGGGGGCTGGCCGGGGGGTCGATGGCCTGCGGGCGCGGGAGGCTGCCAGGCGGCCACTGCTCAGTCTGGTTGTTCAGGAAGCAGCCGTTTCCACACCCTCAGTTCCTTCCCTCTCCACCTGGCGGAGGGGGCGTTGCCCCCTGCTTCTCGCTGCTGTCTCCGGGGCCATCCTTCATCCCCAAGTCTCTCTCCATTCGGGCCCGGAATGGTTCCGCGCGCCCAGGAAATGCGTCGTGGGAGACCCAAGTCAGCCACTTCGACGTCTTTCACTTGCCCTCTGTGGTGGCCTTTCTCTCTCCTCCCAGCTGCTACTCTCCATGGACACCCCATTTACTTGTGATTAGACTACGTAGTACTGCTTATCTTTCTCTGGTTCCTGTGGTTTTCCTGGTGCTAGACCATGGGGGCAAGTTGAACTTGTTGAACACAGTCGGACGGCACCGCGCGTGGCACTGAGATGTGTGTGTCTCCAGTAAATTGTCTCCCAGAAGTTGTTATTTATTTATTTAGTACTGGGGAGTGAATTCAGATGCTCTTCTTTACTGCTGAGCTACATCCCTAGCCATTTTTACATGTTTTTTTGAGACAGGGTCTCGCTAAGTGGCGGAGGCCGATCTCAAACTTGGGATCCCTTTGCCTCAGCCTCTCTAGTTGCTGGAATTACAGGCATTTGCCTCCCTGCCAGGCTCCCAGAAATTTTGTATTGACTGGAAAATAATTATTTCTGAATGAGCAATGTGTGTGTTCAAGGTAGGAGGTCAAAAGTATATGCAGATAGCAGAACTGGGAGGTGGGATGCTTTGTTTTTCATTGAGTATTTTAGGCAGTTAAAGTGTCATAAATCTATTAGTGAAAATATCAAAGCATCTTTGAAGTTTAAATTATAATTCAGTTAACACTCATAATGAGCTCCCCTGTGCTGTTTCAACCACTAATAGCATTATTTTTCCTGCACCAGGACCATTTTGGGAAAAATCAGAATGCTTAGAATGTTTATGGGTTTTGTTTTATTTATTTTTATTTTTAACTGTTCCAAGTAAAAAGAACTCATTGGTTTCCTTGGTGGGGGGTTATAACGCAGATGACCAGAATTTAAATTCTTAGAACTCAGATGACCTACTTTTGTTGAATAGAAAAACAGCAGTTAGGAAACTGGCAGGGCTTCTTCCCCACCCACCCCCAGCGCCTCTCTGTGTTTGTGTCTTTGTCTCTGTGTGTCTGTCTGCCCCCCTTCCTTCTTCCTCCGACTGGGGATTGAACCCAGGAGTGCTCTACCACTTAGCTACATTCCCCATCCCTTTTTATTTTTTATTTTGAGGTAGGCTCTTACTATGTTACCTAAGCAGAGTGTGGACTTAAGCATTCTCTTCTGGCACTGCTTTTATAAAGAACCAAAATAAACTATCTGTGGATGATTAGGAAATCACTTGAAGACAAGTGATAATGTTGCCCTATGGAACTCAAGATGTTGTGATCCTGTTTCTCTGGCCTCCCTTTAGGTAGTCCCACAGGGCCACTTTTAAGTTCTTACCAGGTATTAGAGGCTCCCTTTTGCCACTGTTCCTTTTCATTTGGTGTTCCTGCTGCCTAGAAGTGCTTCCTCCTGTTCTTTCTCTTATCTGCTCTCATGGGATTTTTAAATATTATCTATGCTTCTCTGCAGTAGAGCATAAATGTTTCTATGTGAATGGAACTCTTCAGAAGAGGATGATATTCATCTGAAGCATTCTTGCTGCTCAAAAGAAATAATGTATATTAATTTGCTGCCCGTTAAATCTTTTTCATTTGCCTTTAGTTTTTCTTTTTAATCAGAACTGGCAGAGCTAAAGTAGAATTTCTCATTACCTTATTACAGTTTAGTAAACTGTTATCCATATCTTCAGAATAGAACACAACTTGAAATTTTGCTAGTGGTAGACTTTTTACTTGGATGAGAGAAGAGTAGGTCAGTTTGCCTTCAAAGAATTGTTAGACTATTCCTGTTTGTTCTCCATTGTTCATAAGGAGAAATGAGGAAAGGTAAAAACTAATACCTTTTCATGAATTTATTTATTTGTTTATGGGGAACTTGTAATATTACAGAATGCTTTCTTTAGTATGGGGTGTTAAAAATATTGTTTCATTATTGCCTTTCACTTTGATGGTTGTTTTCTTGTTCTTGCTTTGTCTGTTTCAGTAATGTTTTATTTCTTCATAATTGCAGTGTATTACAGGAGTTACCCAGAAAGTCCCAGGGAAGTTATAGATGGAGTCAGTAGAAATTGTCACCTAGCCTGGGGCAGTAGACAAGATCTTCTTTGCCTTCACTCAAACTCTGCCTTTAGATTGTCTTATTTTGATGATTTATTAAAAAAAAAAGAAAAGAAAGAAAGAAATGCAGAGCTCCCATAAGGAAACAGTTGTAATGGAGAAACCCATAATCAGAAGAGGAAGTACAGTATTTTTAAAAGGAAACTTAAAAATGATGTCCATTTATGTATTTGAGTACATTTTTCTGGACCCATAAATCTTATCAGTTTTTGAAAGACCCCAAGAGAGAAAGGAAGCCTGTTCTAAAATTAAAAACTAGACATTGTGTACTTGGGAAATGCTTACATTGGGGTGCTAGGGATGTTGAGTTCGATTACCTCTGAGATTCTTTGCACATTTAAGATTTCTTCAAATCTCTTAGCCTCCATGGAGTTTTCTGTTACAGAACTGAGCTCTGAAGGGCAGAGGGTGGAGCCTACACACATGTAGGAGGAGATTAGAGATAAAAGAGCATACCTTTTCTAGCTTTTGGAGTCATATAACTAGCTATGTTTGTCATTCAGATATGACCTGAATTTTGTCAAAGGATTGTCCAAAGCATAAGCATCCTCTAACTGCCACACACCCTTCCAGAGATAATTAGAAATTCATTGAGATATCAAGGTGAGGAGTTACTGGAATCTTAAATTTATGCATACATTTGTTCTTATGCTCATATTTTGTGAGTTTTTTATTTTACTTTTTGAGGGAGTTGTTTTGTTTTTTTTTTTTAGGGGAGAATCGACTTTGGCAACCTACTTACTTGCTAATTAGCTGGTGCAGTGACCTAAATATATATAATTTTCTCTCTTCAACAAGCTCCACATTGTGTCTGTGGTACCAGTTGAACATCCTGATGGCTGCACAGTACTGGGATTATAGTCATTCTTCAGGCAAGCAATTTGTCTTAGGATTCACCAGTAATTTCAGCTTATTAAATTATAATGTTATTCTGTCAGTACCAAGAAGCAAATCACTCACAAGCAATTTCTTATATTGATGTTCTTTTCATTATTTAAATGTGAAAATTGATATGTATTAAATTGGAATACTCTATTTTTATCTCAAGGAAGATCTATAATGTCAGCAATTATCTCATTAAGCTTTTGTAAGTAAATATTTCTTAAGGCAAGAGAGACCTGACAGTATTTCTTATTGGAACCTTAAGGTTTTTAGTAACATGTTTGTTAATTCATAAATTCATAGAATTTTATACATGATGTCTTATGATTAATGAAAAACATTCAAAAGTTCTTTAAAGCCAGGCCAGTGGTACACGCTTTTAATCCCAGTGGCTTGGGAGGTTGAGACAGGAGGATTGCAAGTTCAAAGCCAGCTTCAGCAAAAGCAAAGTGCTAAGCAACTCAGTAAGACCCTGTCTCTAAATAAAATACAAAATAGGACTGGGAATGTGGCTCAGTGGTGAGTTCAATCCCTGATACCGCCACCCCCTCCCCCCCAAAAAAATTTTTTAGAAAAAAATTTTTAGTAGACTGTTAAAGATAAATAATAGGGGTTAAAGATAAATGATAGGAGCTGAGGTTGTAGCTCAGTAGTAGAGTGCTTGCCTAGCATGTGTAAAGCCCTGGGTTCGATCCTCAGCACCACATAAAAATAAAAAATAAAATACAGGTATTATATCCATCTATAACTAAAAAAATTTTAAAGATAAATGATAGAGAATTAGTGTTAAACATAATAACAGAGTTTTAAGGAAGATTCGGTTTCAGAAAAGATGGTGAAATTGAAATGGAGATATAGGGTAGTCATTTTCTGAATGTTTAAATCACCAGAGCTGTGTTAATACCATCTTTTAGTCAGTGAGTGAAACTTCCCAAATGACTAGTCAATTTTTTTTTTGGTGGGGGGGTACTGGGAATTGAACCCAGGGCTAATTTACCACTGAGCTATATCCCTAGCCCTTTTTATTTTTTATTTAGAGATAGGGTCTCCCTATATTGTTTAGGGCCTACTAAATTGCTGAAGCTGGCCTCAAACTTGCAGTCCTCTTGCCTCAGCCTCCTGAATTGCTAGGATTATTGTTGTGTGCCACCACACTTGGCCAATTGTTTTTAATATAAGATTTAATAGCAAAAAAGGAAATATACAAAGCTGGCGGTTGTAACTTCAAAACCCTAGTCTTACAGGGTTGGGCATATAGCTGCAATGGTAAAGTGCTTGCCTAGACTACTTGAGGCCACATGTTCAATCCCCAGCACTGCAAAAAGCAAAAAACCCAATCTTCCAGAGAAAACCTATGCAAACATACATCATCATAAAATAAACTTTATAGATTTCTTTTTTGCAGGGGAGGCAGTAGGGGACAAGTATAAAGTGAGAGCCAAGGGACCTGGGTTCTTGTCTGTGCCTGGCTAACACAGAAGCTTGGTTTCATCTGTAAATTTGAGGTTGAGGGACTATATGTTCTCCAGAGGCCCTCCCAACTCTAAAAGCTTGATAATTCCTGTATTTATATTTGTGTAAAATTTTATCATTAAAAGGAACTATATTGGGCATAATTGTTAGATTCCTAATTTAATATTCACTCAGCATTATGATTTCATGCTATTAGGAGCAAGACTGTATACCATGAAATAGCAATTAAGCCTTTTTACTTATGGGTTATGTTCATCATTAACTACTTTTTTTTTTTCATCATTAAC